GACCAAGCAACATGAGGATGTAAGTTATTAGAAGAGATGTGTGCCAAGGAACTTTGATTCTAGTCCACAGAAATCTTTGTGTAAGTCACAGCTGAAGAGGCAGAACTTGGCCCTGCAGCCTTGCAATGAAAGGTTAACTGAGGCAAACTTGCCTGTGGTCCATTTCCCCTTTTGGGAGATGTTTCCGCGTGCACAAAGTAATCGTAAAGATCTGGAAAGCAGTGTACTGCATCCGCTTCTTGGAGGTGGTCACACAGCAGGCAGCGCCCGTGAAAGTGCCCCATGTTCATGGCATGGACCAGGATGGCAACAAATGTTGGTGATTTACAGAATTTAAAAGGGTTTAATTAGATCTGTTAATCTGACCTCATAAGAGCTTAACATGCATCAAGTTACAGGTACATCAAGGCTGTTAATTTGATATGAGCTTTTTTCCCTGGCATCCAGTTAAGGTATGAAGCATTTGAAAGACAGAGGATCTGTCCCATCCCATGACATTGCCTCACTGATCAGTCATCCTTCCTTTTAAATATGTGTGCATTACTTCTAGTTTGAATTTGTCTGGCTTCAGCTTTCAGAAACTGATTCTTACTCTGTTCTCTGTGTGATTAATAAGTCCAGGAGGATTCAGTGTTTTCCGCCTCTGGAGATATGTATACATTAATCAAGTTGCCTCTCAGGCTTCCACTGATAACCTAAAGACCAAATCTTTTAAATCTTTCACTGTGATATATTATTCTTAACTCCAGAAGCATGTACAGTCTTTCTGTTTGCACTGACCTCTTAAAAATATAGAATCAGAACTATATAGGTGTTAGATCATCTTGCCTGTAATACGCTATTTCACCCTGTGCATCTGAAAAAACGGGGACAGGTCATCAATCTTGGTATCACACCAGTCAGAAGTGTCCCCTGATATCCAGTTCAGTGATGATTTCCCGCTGACAGCTCTGTTTTGTGCTCTATTGCTCTATTAATACATGTATTGCTAGTATGGTGTAGTGGTACTTCTAGACTGAACGGCATGCCAGACTAAGTTAACTGTCTTGGAAAGCGTTAAGTCTCTTATATCCACTCAGTAACCTTTATAATATGATCTTGTAAGCCTTTTGAAGAATGAAATGAGGTCTGTTTGACAGGACTTACACATTGTAACAGTGGGTGTTAGGTGTCTTTAAGTTTCATGGAGTGAATCCTGTGCCAGTTTTCTTGTAAGTATGAATGTGTGTGGCTGCATGTGGCACTATATTTCTAACAGTACTTAACAGCATCTTATGTGGCCAGGACTGATGACCTGAGCAACTGCGACAATGTATGTGTGTTTCCTATTGCTCTTAAGAAAGCTACAGATGCAAAATTACTAGGAATTCCACTGGCTTCACTGGATGAAGATGCCCCAGTATAGCTAACATCATAGGATGCTGTGTTGTTCCTAATTTCCTTTGGAAATACTTTCTGTGTTTTAAAAAGGCCCACAATGGGGCAAGCCACCAAAACCTTGTGGGATGTCTTGCATTTTTTTCACAGACTATAGATGAAGTTTTGTCTCTGTAATGTGCGTTGCTGCACATAAGCTGATGTGTGGCAGCCCAGACCTGTTTGAAACATACAGTGTGAAAGCGTGCCGTCAATGGAATTTAACCCGGAAATTTATCCATAAATGTTTTAGAAGTGTGATGTCCGAACAAGATTGATAGTGTCAACTCTGGGAAAGATTTTCAGCAGAGTTTTCTGAAACAGCATGGGTAAGCAGGGAGCTTTTTTAAAATATGTTTTATCTGAAAATTAAGTATTAAATGCTTAAAACAGGCGGGCTCAGGGGGTAGGGGGCAGGTGGTATTTGCAAAGGCTACCTTGAAGCAGGGAGATTAATATTCCCTCTGGAATTTGAAGCTGGAAGGAGACTTTAGTAAAAGACGAATGTGAGTAGATGCCTAACGTATATGATTTAGACTTAGGAGTCTTTACCTTTAGCTATAACATTCCATGAGGTGATGCTGTCCTGCCTGTTCCCAGTGGCTTGCCAGCTCCATCCTCTCCAATGAAATGCTGCTGTGATAACAGCAAGCTGCAAATCCCTGCTTAGCTACATGCTTAGGACATTTAGTAACACGGAGAAAGGAGAGGAGCCAGCGCTTGGTTGTCGACTGGTGCCTCCTGGACCATCATGGGGAACATCTGCTCTACAGGATCTCCCAGGAGCTGCAAGAACCTTCCTGTTCCCAGCACGCCTGGCTCTGCCAGAGCCCTGGGAAGGGTGCCTGGATCTGGCAGCAATGTTGCTTGTGTTTAACAGGGATTGGCCTGGATTTGGGGCTCCCCCCTTGCTAAAAGAGCAGGGACAGGAGACAGTTTCCATGCTTCTCGTGTGACACTTTTCCTCCCCATCCCCCTCCAGCCGCTTTCGGCTGCCTGGAACAAAATCAAATGATGCATCTGTTCCCACGTCGAAAGCAGTTCGTGTTGCCATTAGCCACGTTCGGCCCCAAATTGAACCTGGCAAGCAGCTGGCATGCTCAGAGCTAGTTTGCTTGCAGACGTATGTGTTTTGACGGGAAGCGCTGCCTTTGGAATATAAAATTCTTAGAAAAGAGAAAGAAGGTCCTTTCACACCTAAATAAGAGCAAGATGCATCTCTGCTGGGAAAGGTGAACGATGGGTTTTTGTGTCCTATCTTGCAGCCTGCCTGTGCCTTTATACTCTTTTTTTTTTTTTTCTGTCTCTATCTGAAATGATCAGACCACAAAGAGTTAAAATATATTAGCCCAGTTAAAGCAATAATCTCTGCTCAACCTGACTCCCAACTGAAGAGGAGGTTCTGCTACCTGCTGTGTCCTCATGATGACAGTAAAATTTTCTCTAATACTGCATCCTTATTTGAAAGCCAGATTTGGAATATGTGGTGAAGCAGTGCTCTCAATTTCTTGCTATTTAACTCTCTTAAAAAATGTTGGGACTGCTAAAGGATTTGAATAGAGAGCTTTCTCTCAGCATCTTTCAAAAAGAAGTAGAGCAGGATGTATTATTAATGATGCTAAAGCATTTCCTAACCAGTAGATCAGGACACCTTTACACATTTAAGGTGAAGGGTTGTATAATATGTGCTCTCAGTTCAGACAGGCATTTAAGGAAGTGCTTGATACTGAACTGTTCTGAAGGTAGTGGTGCTTCCTGCTTTGATTCTGGTCGATCTTAAGGCTTGGGCTAAGGTTGCAAAGGGAGCCAGGTGGGATGTTAGCCATACCACTCTCATGTATCTGTGCTACAAATGCTCATTTGCTAGTCACTTAGATTTTTGACTTATCTGCTGGGCTTTCACTGCAATCCAGTGCAGCAGGATTCCCACACGTTTGTCCCCATAGTACCTGTCCCTGACAGATCCAGGCTAAATACCTTCCTGCCCACTTCCCTCCTTGGTGCGTCACTCGTCAGCGATGGTGTTACAGTGAGACAGGTTTGTTGCCTTGCAAAGCATGAGAACACATTCAGAGTACTTTGCTATAACCAAGAGGAGAAAATGACCCTTTGGCAGATCTTTCCATCAAAACGGACCTTTTATCTACGTTCCAGTGCTGCTGTCAAGGACAATTACACAAAGAAATCTGATGGGAGCTGGTGCAGTGAGTGAGAGCCTGAACCAATGATTGGATTCAGATTGAATTTTTTGTTATGCAGGCACCTCTTTATCAGAGTATCTGCAGTCAAACAAGTTTTTCTGCTGTTAGATAAACATCAGTACATCTATAAAACTTTACAAGCTGGGATTTCAATTGGAGTCAGTTGTTTTGTGCTAGTTGTACCTCTTTGGATAGCAGACAGGTTTTTGGCAGTCAGGTTTTTGGACTGTGAACTCAGGACGTATCTCCCATAGCTCCTGAGGTCAGCTTATGAAATAACCATCACTGCACAATGTAGCATGTGTGAAACATTCAGTAAAAAATCCTGTTGTTTCTTCAGATGTGACTTGTGCGTCCTGCTTTGGCTGCACTAGCTCGGTTAAGCCTGTAAACTCTCAAGCAACCTAGGAGATCCCATATGCTGTAGCAAGTGTTCATTTGCGTTCACCAAAGCCCCACCTAGGACATTCAGTCTGAGAGGAGCTGTGGCATGGTGACTGGGATGGGGAAAGTGGGTTTGTTTGCACCAAAATGTGCTTCTGGACATGAGTCACAGTTCCCAGCACAGACATGGGTCTCCTTGCGGCGTACAGGCATTCTCCTGTCTGGGTTTCCTCTGCATAATGGGAATAGTCTTTCCTTAACAGATAGAGAAGTCATCACATTGACAAGGGACATATAGTTACTTGGGGTAAGTCATTTTAGAGACATTAGCAGAAAAAACTATTTGTGACTCTACTTTCTAAAATATGCTTCCCCTTGTTACGTATGTTAAATACTTTTTGTTTTACTGGTGACATTTTAGTAGCATCCCAATCAAAGGTCAGGGCCTTGTTTGGTAGACACCATCTTGTTGTTCATCTTTCCTGTGACCACCTGGTCTATCAGGCAAGATGTTCAAGAGTTGAAGGCAGGCCACATAAGGAGAAATTGGGAGAGCACCTTGGATGAGATCTGCAGCTTTCCCTCAAGGTTTGTAGCCTTGTTTTACAATTGACTTTGTACAAAATATAACAAATAGGTGAGCGAGAGTGAGAAGAACTATCACAAGCCCTTATATGCACAACTGTTTGTTGTAGATATTGTAGGTAGAGCAGTAGAGCTTTTCTTTTTTTCATGTGTTGTTGTGCCAGTGGAGACAAGCTGCAAGTCAGGAGCTGTTGTCTAGATTTGATTTATCTCAGTGAAAAAAAACAGACATCGGTGAACACCTCAATTTTGCAGTCAACTTTGGATCAGCTGTGGTGTTCCTGTTACTGAAGCATTCCTGTTGGCTTCCCTTTAGTGACAGTTCACTGTTAATTAATTAAGCAGCAGAAAATTAATGGGAATTAATTGGGTTTAGCTTCCCAATTAATGGTTGGAAATGATTTGTCTCCTCAGCGTTCTCCTGTGCCTCTGGTGAGTACCTGGAGATGAAGAACCAGGTGTGCAGCAAATGCGCAGAGGGGACCTATTCCCTGGGCAGCGGGATCAAGTTTGATGAGTGGGATGAGCTGCCAGCAGGATTCTCCAATGTGGCAACGTTCATGGACACAGCCATTGGCTCTTCTGAGAATAAAGCAGACAGCTGCAACAAGTAAGAAAGTCTGTTTACATCCATATTATGTGGCAACACAGTCTGAAGCAACTTAGAAGTACAGAGATCTAGGATCCACATGCTGCTGGATTTTGCTCAGCAAAAGCCTTCTGTTGCTTTTTATCCAGATTATCTGCTTTATGCTAAGGAATAAAAGGTGAGGGGGCCATATCCCCAACATGGAGGCTTCAGGTGCATGAGATGATGTCTGCACCACCTGGGGTATTGGCTGGTAGGTCGGGGGGCTGTCCTGATTTCTGGATGGAAACAGCTCATGTCCCTTAGTACAGAACTGTGTGTTAAGTGTGTTTAGAGTCCAACATTGAGAGCATTGATTTTGCTCAGCTTTAATTGTCCTTCATGCTATAAGAAGCAGTTGATCCACCAGTGCTGTGATGTGGCCTTTCTAAGGAATCTTCTTGGGACCGTCTTTGGTGTCCCTGGAGCCTGGATTTGATGAAAATGAGGCCATTAGTCAAGCACAGCTCTGTAAACACAGAGGGAAGCGTTATACTATTAGAAGTGAAAATCCATATAAAAGCGCACAGTACAGAGCTGGGAGGATAAGAAGAGGTAGCGCTGCTGACACGGCGCAGTCAGCTTTGCTAGTTATCTTAGCTCTCCAGAGAGTCATGGCAAACATGAGCAGATGAGAAGCAAAATTCTTGGTCATTTCTTTGCTGTCATCATGACCTACTAGGTCTCATCAGCAACTACCAAGTTTAAGAACTGCCTGAAGCTGCTCTTATCCGTCACTGAAAACCTAGAGGATTGTGGCGTGGTGAATTTAGTTAAAAGGTACTTTCACAGCCTAGGCAGAGATCTGTGGAGGTTGCAGAAGGCTGTTTCTGAGTCTGACTCAAAGCATGCTGGACACGCAGATAATAACTCTTTCCTAGTATAATAATCCTTTCCTTAAGTTCCTAGCATGTACCATGTTCTTTTCCAGTGCACAGTTTTAATTATGGGCAATATTTTTGTGTGAAAACAAATGTGAATCTAGTAATAACAGATTAGAAAATGAATTTAACTATTGTGGCACTGGGTCAAATTTTAGGTAATTTTTTGTAGTAATTTAAGAAAAGTCTCCACAATGTAGTCTCAAATGAGGCTTGTTTTGTTTATGTTCATCAGCTCTTCGTGGACTCCTCGAGGGAATTACATAGAGTCGAACAGAGATGACTGTACAGTTTCTCTCATCTATGCAGTACACCTGAAGAAATCTGGTTCAGTCTTCTTTGAATACCAGTATATCGACAATAACATCTTCTTTGAGTTTTTTGTAAGACCTTTTCTATAATAAATACACATAAATGTTAAAAGAACTCAAACTTTTAAAGACCCTCAGAAATGACTTCTCCCTTTCTTTGTATTACTGTTATGTCCACAGCTTGTTATTTCTGAACAAGTTCTAGAAAAATCTTCTTTCTGCCACTTATCTTAACTTTGGCATGTATGTAAGCTTCAAAACTTTGGCTAACCTGACCTGTTTTACCATGTGTTGGGATTTTCACACTGAGGTTGTGGCTGTTGGTGGTAGAGGCTTCAGTTTGGGAGTGTTTGACTTCTTTGAGATGACTTTGAAGTGGCTTCAAGTTTAAAGAGACTTCTTTGAAGTTAGGCACCCAGAACCTGATAAACTCCAAGGCATAAGCAATATATGGAAACTTTAGATTTTTGTCATTTTGGATCCTAGCCTTTAAGACAAGCAGAAAAACAGAAGAGACAAAAAGATGGAGAATTGTTACTTCATTGCTTTCTGATTGACCAAGCAGCACCCATGGTGCTAAAATGATCCCTGTGGATGAGCCTGCCACAGACAAGTGGATGGGGAATGGGTCACCTGGGGCCCACCTGCCAGCCCTCTCAGAATTGCCTTGCTTTTTCTGTCAGGGCTGTATCTGCTACTCCGAGTAGGCAAAGACGGAATTGGAGGCACCTGGGAGCAGGAGAGGACTGGGAATTTTCCATGCCCTCTGTTACCAACTCTCTGCCTGTCTGCTGGGCTCCGGTGGTGATCTGTGAGGAGATGTTCATGCTGGCTCTCAGGAGTGCAGAGCCTTAATTGGTGTTTGGGAAGTGTTTTGTGAAGCTGAGACAAAAGTGCAAAGTGTCCTTATTCCTTAGTAGAGATGAAAAAGGGAGACCAAAATAACTTGCTTGAGGCACCCTCTTGCTGCTACACCACTGCAATCTATTGCACTTTGGTAACAGAGAGTGTGAACTATATTATTCAGCCATTTCAGATTTATATTAGACTTTCCTTCCTTCTCCATCAGGAGAAATATTCTTTTCCACCATTAAATACCCTTTTTACTGGCAGATGAATGTAACAGTATTATGAATCCTAGCTCCAGTTGCTCAACTGACTGAGCTGCAAAGAAGCTGACTCCTGCAAAGAAGCAAATATACTGTTCTTTGAGTGCTAGCTCTGAAAAGGGCTTTTTGATTATTACTTGTTTCCACATCTCACTGATTCACCCCCTTAATTTTGTCATTGCCTTTTCACAAACCAGTGAGTGGCATAGTCCTTTGTATTATCATGCCCATAGTTCTTAGGGGTCCTCATTATTTCATGGAAACTACATAATACTCCTCTAAAAGTTCCTCTCTTTCTCCGGGTTGTGGCTAAATATATTTTACAATTGCAGTTTGGCTCTGGATGATGTTATTTCACTGGCAGGGGCTTGGAGATTGGCAGAGAATGGTGAGCTTGTCCGACTAGCCAGAGGCAGGTGGCTGCATTACTGGTCTTGGGCAAATCTGAAGGTTAGCAATGAGATGTGGTTCTGAGGTGTGGGAACTAAGTGGGGACACTTCATGGTAGATGCCTGTTGTTGCTTCTGCTCACCCTTCCTGGATTCCCTTCCATATTTAAGCCCTTTGCACCTTGTAAGAAGAGAGTATATCCATTTCCCTCTTCTCCGTTTTCTATGAGGCTCAGATGCTGAGGCTCAGATTACTCAAGATAATTAGAGGTCTACATGATATTTAGGTGCTGCTTCTCCCTTCTTTTCCTTAGATATGTGTTAGATGGCAATGAAGTACATAGATGCTTTGGAGAGTTATATGCTTACTTCAGGCACAACGTGGAATAACCACGTCTTATGAATTTAAGCGTGAAGTCTTAAACTATCATTTCTCCCTGTTGGTATAAAGGCTGAGTAGTTACACTGATGTCGCAAAGGGAGTTAATGCTTTTTCTTTAGAAAAGTCATGTATTAGAAGGAAAAAAAAAAAAAAAAGCAGAAATGGGAGACTCTGAGGCCATGCAGCAAACACTTCCACAAGAAGAGGGCTGCAAGGCCGCTCTGGGCTGGGCAAGGGGAAATAAATCCTGCAGCTTTCCCAGCAGAGGTTTTCCATGGCACTTTCCTTCTCCCTTAATCACATCGCTGTCATCTCCAAAGGTGAGATGTCAGAGAGCCAACGAGTTAATATGTGTTGATTCTGTGTTTGTCAGAGAAAGAAGATGATTGTCTTCTAGCATCAGCCTGACCACTCCTAAATCTGCCTCAGTTTAGAGGTCCATGGTCACATCCAGGGTTTGAGAGAATTAGATCCTGGTAGGCTCAGGAGAAGGAGGAGGCCTCCAAGGCAAGGAATTCAGCACCAAAATATGGCCAGGTAATGAGAGGAGAAGGCCAGGGTGTGCTCTTTGTGCTCCTTTTCTCTTCTTGCAGTTGCAGCAGAGGTGCTATCATCTGACGCACCGCTAAGCTCCGAGCAGGTTTTGAAAGAATTTTTTTTTTTGCCACAAATAAAGCAGCTGCTGTCCTAAATACATAGACAGTAGGAACAAAGCTGAATCTTATAATTCCCCACCAGTAGCTGCTATACTGAGAGAGACTGATCTCATGTTTTTAATTAACAGATACAAAACGACCAGTGCAAAGAGATGGAGTCCACAGCAGACAAGTGGGTGAAGCTAACGGACAATGGGGAATGGGGCTCTCATTCTGTAAGTGTAAAGATATCTGTCATGATACTTTTTCCCTCCTTATTTTTATAAATGTCTGTGATTTCCTCTGACTAGATATCAAATAAGGGCCAGAACCTGTGAATCTGCTTGAAGAATCACATCTTGCCTGCTATGCCAAGCCACCAAGATCTCTAAGGGTCTGATCCCAAAGCAAGTGATACAGATGCTGGTCTTTCCAGGCAGATGCTGGCTTGATTTCCCTGGACTTTGACTCAAGAGCTTTATGAGGCTAAACAGTTCCATGTAAATTGCAAATCTGCACACCAAAGTCCCTCTGCATGACTGCAATTGAAATCTTCTAAAACAGCTGTTTCCTTGTGAGAGCAAGAAATTATTCTCTGGTGCTCAAAAAGCTCTGGTCAGTTGGAATGGCATCTTTATGTGCAAGCAGACAGGACTGACTTTCTATTTTTAAGTGCGTGATTCAGAGCTGGGCTGCGCCCAGTCTGTGCTCTGTGGTACCTTTCCCAGTTAAAAAGCGAGCTGGCAGTACTGGCATGGCTCCCACAGCGCTGGTACAAGCGTGTCTGTGTTGGAAACAGCAGCTTTCACTGCCCTGTGGCCCAGCCGAGAGATTTGGTCACTGCAACGATGGCGCGTAGACTACATCTTCCTCACTGGCTCCTCCTGAGGCCAGCCTTCCACTATATCAGCATATCCTATTTCACAGAGCTATGCCAGCAAAGGGCCAGTGTAGGTGACATAATGCCAGAAAGAAAAGACTTGCCATTGGCATGGACAGCAGCCTGCGCTCTTTCCATGGCCTCGTTCCTGAGCCAACTGTGGCTGGCAGTGCCTGTTAGCTCAGGTGCAAGCAAATCAGATCAGGAGCCTAGGCCAGGAGAAGGAAGGGTATGGGCTGAGAAATCCACTTGGTTGCCCCTCTAGGATTCTTCCTCCTGGATCAACCCCATGGTCCTGGCAGGACCCCTTTACAGGGGTAGGGTTATTCCTGTTCTTGTCTGGGATAGTTAAACTAGGATAAAGCATATTTTGGCCGGTGTTGCTGCAGCAGCGGCAAGAGTTTTGTACTGGACTAGTACAACATTGATATAGTATGGTAGGTATGATACAACGTGCAGATTTGGCAGAGTCTTGATAGACCTGATGCCCCTTGTGGGACTAGTTATGCAGGTAGGTGTAAGTTAGTAGGCACTGACTGCTGAAAGAAGTGGTTCTACCTTCCTCCTGCTCCTCACTCTTGCCCTAATACTACCAGCACAGGGATTTGCACAGACCTTTGTTGACCTCACTGTGAAGACATGTAGGTCTCAGCATTTTGGGCCTGGATTATTTTTGTCTGTCTCTTTCACTGCTCCATATCAGGAGTAAGCAGGATGGATGGGACTACTGCTGGGGACATTCCTTGTTCATGCTAGCTTGCTAATCATGAGGTTAGATGTGGGCAAATCTTGATTTAAAGCCTTGCTTCTAAACAGAGCCCAGTTCAGACCCAGGACTTTTGAATCCTGGTTTCTCCTTTTTAGTTATATATATACGTATATGTATACATATATATATATATATAAATATAAAATAAAAGTGGATTTCTAGGCTTTAAAAAAACCCCATCTGTCTACATCTGAATATGCAGCTCGTCACACTGTCTTGCCTGCTCACTGCCATATGTATCCTTGCAGGTGACTTTGAAATCAGGTAGTAATATATTATATTGGAGAACGACAGGGATTCTCATGGGCTCTAAAGTAGTAAAACCAGTTCTGGTGAAAAACATCACCATTGAAGGTAAGTCGTGGTTAACCTTTTAGCTCTTGAACTTGCTGTTTTGTCATAGCATTTGGTATGTGCCATTGCTATTCTTGTGCCTTCTCAATAAAGTGGTTTTTTTTGGATCCCCTGTTTTCCCCTCTAAGGTCTAGGAACAAAACAGTAAAACTTAATGCTGTTGTTAAGGCTAGTAAACTAATTTAGTTGGTAAATGTTGCCATCTGCTGGGGAAGATTGGTTTAGTAAATAGAGAAAAAAAGGAGAGGGGACCTCCCCTGCCACTCAGAATCATAGAATCATAGAATTGTTAAGGTTGGAAGGGACCTCTAGCGATCATTTAGTCCAACCCCTCTGCACACACAGGATCACCTAGAGCATGTGGCTCAGGACTGCATCCAAGCGGGTTTTGAAGATCTCCAGAGGAGATTCCACAACCTCTCTTGGCAACCTTTTCCAGTGCTCTGCCACTCTCACCGTTGAGAAAATTTTCCTTGATTTTCTTCAGTGTAGTGTAAGAAGATCATGTTTCCCAGTGAGCCTGTCTGGTAACAAACTGGATGACATAACTATTCTGGGCCAATGACATTTAAATCACCATTTAAATTATTTAATTAGTCTAGAATAGCTATTTTAGTCCATTTCTAAGTGTAACCAAGCCTGGAGTGCTATATGGTGTTCTAAAATTAGATCAACCTTGGACTGAGGAACAAAGATTGAAGAACTAAATCTTAAGGCCAAAGGGTCAAAATTGAGCAATGAAAGTATGTGATTTTTAATCCAGTGGTTAGCCAGTGTGTCTGCTTTTCTGGATAAGTGGGCAGGCAGTAGTTATCTACTCTGCTTTTCAGTACGTTACCTGTATTTACCTTACAGGAGTTGCATATACGTCTGAATGCTTCCCATGCAAACCTGGTACTTTTAGTGACAAATCCGGTTCATCCAGCTGCCAAGTGTGTCCAAGAAATACTTATTCTGAAAAAGGAGCTAAAGAGTGCACCAAGTGTAATGAAGAAACATATTATGCAGGTACATAAATCTTCTAAGATAAACAAAACCAGGAGAGTCAGGTCGTTAAGTGCACCAGGTTTTTGCAAGAGCTGCTCGATCCAACAATAAAGTTTAGTCTCCAGTTGATGAGCACAGTGAAGTGGAAATGAAGACGGTGCTTCCCAAGAGCTGCAGAGAGCACTGGATTTTGGCTAAGGTCACATAGATTTATATTAAAATAATCTCCAGATCTTTTGTGACTTCAAAGTGTACATTTCGTTTGCATGATAATAGCAGTCGTGTTGTGCCCTCTCGTGGTAATTTTTGTTATTGTTTGGTGGTTCCTGAATTTGCTTCATCACTGCCTTCAGGCTTGTGGTGTTTATAGGAATGTCTTTTCCAAATGCTCTCCTCACCCATCCCTGCCTCTCCTGTGGTTGGAAGATTTGGTAATCTAGTGCAAACTGTAGTACCAAAATTATTCTGAATCCCCTTATAGCTAGCAGTCATGAAGCAACATGGGCAAAATCCAGGCTGTATGTGCCAATCAAAATGCCTTCAATTCCCTTGTATATTCTTTTAAAAGGAAGTTTTAAAATAATAAGCTATTGACCATAACACCTGTTATCACAGGTTATGGCAAATACTTGGGGACTTGTAAATGGGATATTTGTAAATACGCGTGGTGAGAAGAAAAGCTGAGCCAGTGTTGTAAAAATTTTCTAATGGATTAGAGTGTTTTCATGCTTTACCCAAGTGATAAATTATTTCCATATTTGGACAAACTATGCAAATTACTGCTTAACTCTTGACTCCCCTCTATACTGAATTAATGAATTTCAGAGTGACAGGAGAAGCATAGCTAATACTTTCCCAACTATCTTCTGCAGATCAGGGGAAGATTCTTTTGGACTCAATGTAAAAGCTTAATTTTTGCTCTGATTTTGTATTTTTCTACTGGCTCACTTTAGACTCCAGACTTTAAACTCATTGAAGTTGTTCACAGGGATCATTTGACAGTTTAACATCCTGTTCCTCATCCTTTTTATTTCAGATGAGGGATCCAGTGAGTGTATAGAGCGTCCTCCATGCACAAGTAAAGATTTTTTCCAGATCCATACTCCGTGTGATAAGGAAGGAAAAGTAAGTGGAAAGCATTATGTTATTTTGGGGCTTGCTGTGATCTCTTGACCTGAAAACAAAGCAGGGGGTCTGTACTTCGTGTTGTAATTTTGCTTCCA